TGTACAGAATGGAGGGATGAGTAGATAGATATGAACTGACAGGAATGGGTAAATATATAAGAACAGACAAGGATGGGTACTTGACAGAGAGAGAGAGAGAGAGAGAGAGAGAGAGGAGGAGAGAAATGGAGTTAGATATGAATAGATAGATATGAACAGTCAGGGATAGATAGATAGATAGATAGATAGATAGATAGATAGATAGATAGATAGATAGATAGATAGATAGATAAGGACATATAGGGATGGATAGATATTTAGATATGTACAGAATGGAGGGATGAGTAGATAGATATGAACTGACAGGAATGGGTAAATATATAAGAACAGACAAGGATGGGTACTTGACAGAGAGAGAGAGAGAGAGAGAGAGAGAGAGGAGGAGAAATGGAGTTAGATATGAATAGATAGATATGAAATAGTCAGGGATAGATAGATAGATAGATAGATAGATAGATAGATAGATAAGATACAGATAGATAGGGATGGATAGATATTTAGATATGTACAGAATGGAGGGATGAGTAGATAGATATGAACTGACAGGAATGGGTAAATATATAAGAACAGACAAGGATGGGTACTTGACAGAGAGAGAGAGAGAGAGAGAGAGAGGAGAGAAATGGAGTTAGATATGAATAGATAGATATGAACAGTCAGGGATAGATAGATAGATAGATAGATAGATAGATAGATAGATAGATAGATAGATAGATATTTATTTATTTATTTATTTATTTAAACATTATAAGAGAAGTATGTTATGACATCACTACAAAAATAGCCATTTTCTTTAAACACTTCTTGGGTCTTATCAATTGATGGTGTTGCAAGTAAAATAAAAAAAAATAAACAGTTCAAAATCAACAACTACACTTACTTGGGGAAATATTTTCACGTAAGATATAATGGCCAATCAAATTACAAGTATATGATAATTGAAATAACTAGACAACGGGTCAAAGAAGCAATTGATTAATGCTTGAAAATTATTTTTTTTTATCGTAAATCAGGATAACTCCAGGGTTAATCTCCAATTTAGTATGCAATTAAAAATAAACGTTACTAATAATAAGTTCAAAATATAACCCTGCATTAAATTTAGAAACTAACAAATTTATTCCAAGAAAAAAAAAACTGAGAAAATATGCCTCAATTTTCATGTATCGTTCTTAGAGAAATGTTAATTTTTGGTCCGTATTTTAGCGCATGTAAAAGGTATAATATATAGCTACAGAAGTAGTTATGATGACAGGGTCATGATGAGAGATTTAGTGGATGGGGGAGATAAGTATATTTGTCAAAAGACATACAGACATAACGTCCTAATAGACAAACACATAAATATGATTGAATATATAAGCACTCATATATACGAATGGCAAACATATTCATTAAGATTCAATCATCTACAGAACTACAGAAACAACGCAAACTACCCGTCAAAATTGTACAAAGATGGAAAACCAATATGCATATATATAAACCTACGCACATATACATGTTTATAAATATATATATATATATATATATATATATATATATATATATATATATATATATATATATATATATAAGACATACCAATATAAGGATATATATATATATATATATATATATATATATATATATATATATATATATATAAATACACACACACAACACCTACGCATACATATATAAATACATATATACATATACAAAGGGAAAAACACATACATATATATATATATATATATAATAAATATTTGTTGATTGATGACTTTTTGACCATGGGTTTCACGCTTTTGCGATCATCAGACAAAAGCGTGAAACCCAGTGTCACAAACTCACATCAATCCAACCAAATATATTAGCTCTATCTCTGATTAACTTCTAATAACTACCGCGCATATAATATACAAAGAATAATATATATGTTACACACACACATATATATATATATATATATATATATATATATATATATATATATATATATATATATATTGTGACGAATGCAAGCCCACACATATACGTTATTCCCACTCCCCACAACAGAACCCAAAGTAGACACGCATAGAAACACGCGTAGGCGAAGTCTAAAAACAGATTCAGACCCAGTAAGATAGCATATAAAAGAAACAAGGCAAAAGCAGCCAATCAGCAGTCGAGAATATTAGGCGCCAAAAAGGAGACGCGCACGTGAAGTGAAGAAAGAAAGCAGCTTTATCGGAGAGACCAGCGGACGTAAAGTCACGCCAACGTTCACGTCCCAGGTCGCACGCTGAGACAACACATTCCCAGAGGCAGGGAAGCAGACCAGCCACTCAAATACCAAGAATGTAAAGATAGTCCAGACGCAATTGGCCTGAACCCCTCGGAGATCATCGCCATAAGAAGAAATCCTGAAATATAAATATGGCAGAGAATGTGATCCCAGTTGAGAACTTAAAGCTCCAATCGCTGAATTAAGAATACAAGAACAGAGACTATTATCGCCTTTGGTCGATAAATGCATATCTCAGATAAGTGTATACTCTAGAAACCCCCAGTATTATTATGATTCGCAAACACCCAATGATATTATGTTCTTGCACACACCTTCCTATATTCGTAAAACTAGATTCTTGAGACTATACCCCTGTATATGTGTGAACATTGCATTCGTTAATATTTGTCGTATTCGATCCAAATATATGTTGTAGCTCACATGATACAATTTCTTTATTGTCGTTGCCACATACATGCTCTTGTTAATTAAACATGATATTGTTCAGTATGTCATTTCGTTCATTTTTGGTCACCGGTCGGGTGAATGTGTTATTCCAAGAACCCGGAGAAGCGCAGTTCAATTAGACCATAATTGAGTTGGACTTTGCTTACTTTCTTTTCTTTTTATATTATCTGCTGATGATTTAATGATGTAAGGGCAATAATATTTATTCAGTAAACGGAAGGTTACTCGGGGAATATAAGACATAAACGAATCATCGTGCAGAATACATGGATCTTAGCCTGGTGCTGGTTGTATCCCCCATCACCATATTAATGCCAGACGAGGATCTATGACAATATATACACACACTTTTCACATATATAAATAAATAAGTTCTTTTAACCAAGTGATTTAAGAAATATGAAATAGAAAGACGTGGTGATATGAGTACCAATAAACAAAAAATATATTAGACACATCAAAAGCTTACAAAAGCATTTATAAACAATATACATATACACAAGCGGACAAAAATAAAAATATCACTGAAGAAAAAATATATACGAACATGAACACCCAACTAAAACAGATATAAGTGGACATAAAAAAGACAAAAAACAAGCACACATAAGCATAAACTTAAAAACAACAAGCACTTAGAAATTACGTCCATATAGAACAGGAGTAGAAACAAATGTACTCATGTGTGAGGTCGTCCCCTGGTCGCAGCGCCAACTGTGACGTCCTATCCTGGTCTAACACGGCACCAACTGTGACGTCCTCGCCACGGCGCCAGGTGTTCGCTCCTCGCTGCTCCGTTCGGGTGTCGCCGCTCCAAACGTGACGTCCGCCTGTCGCGTCAGTCGTGTTGTCTCGTCCTGTGACGACCAACTGGCTTGGTTTCGGTCGCGGCACCCAAAATGACGTTCTAACTTTTGGTGATTCGGTGGAATCTGGTTAGATTTGATATCAGCCTCGTCGTTCCCAACTCGCTTCCAACGCCTGGTTACCAAAGTAACTGCATTGATCTCCAGTCTGCCTTACCCACGTTGTGAATTGATCTTAGGCAGACGAGATCAATCAGTAGTTGGGGCCGTAATGCAAATCGGGTTCAACGGGGGTGACACCACACAAATATGCATAAAATAAAATAAAATGAAAACTCAAAAGTTCAAGATATCAAAGAAAAAGATAACAAACTTTATGTCTAGTTGTTCGATACATAGGACTGCATCTATCTTCCGACCCGTTCTATGGATTGTGACACGTTGTTTTCCGTTAGGCGAGTTTTAACGCTTCAAGTTGTTTGCTGTTTAAGAAATTGGACTTTCGGTGTGTCTTCGGACGAAAGTCGAAAAAAAACTTATTTTGGTGGTCTGGATCTAAGTCGCACTTCAAAATAATTGTTCTTGGATTGAAGAGGAGTCCGGAATGTGCGTGAATCTTGGTCAGCTATCTGCGAGGCTTGCTTCTCTTCATATCTTTCTTCTTCCTGATAATAGGGGGGTAAGGAAATAGATATCCCAAATGCCGAACATCCCATGGGTAACTTTAACAGGGATAATGGTGGCCTTACTCTTAATGTCCTTGTGAACTCTCCCCCCACATACCCTAGACAAGCTGATAGGTTTCTGTGTGGCCCTGCCCACCCGTCTGAAACACTGATATCTTGTGGTAATGCCGTGTTTGCTAATACCTCCACTTGGCCAGGTTCTCTTAATTCCCTCTCTCTTCCTTCAAACAATTCTAGTATGCACATTTTGCAGTTACCAGCTATATAGATAGGGCTTAACGAGGTACAAGTCCCTAGAGCATCATTTCTACACTTTCTAGCTTCTTCAGCTGTTAGCAACATGAATTTCGTTCTCCCAAATTTAAAGCTATGTATTCTGTTTCCACCTTGTACCTTGCTATCATTCCCAAACCTTGATCTCTTCTGGGGTAGGGAATGGGTAAATTTATAACCTGGTATATCTCGAATATACTCTCTCTATCTAACAACGGAACATATATCACAACCAATAGTCGTCTATTTTCTAACAAGTTCACACATCCCAGTGCATTATAATATTTCCACAATTCTTTACTCAATTATTCCATAATTTCTTACTAAGTTCAGCTCTTCCCTCCTCTAACTAACTCCTAGCAGACAGAATGGTCCGGTCAGGTGTGCATGGCGCCCACTCCAAAGGTCGTACTTCATGACACCACTGATGGCCAGTCAGCAATGCCAATAATCTTCTTCCGTCCTTCGTGAGTTGCAGTTCGCGACTCCATCCTCTCCATCCACATCCACCACAGTCAGCCAGCAGGTTTTTGGATGAGCCAGTGTCGTTATCTGTCGACGCCGAATGTTTCTATTCTGCACAGCCTTCTTTGTTCTACTGAGATTTGGGGTTCTTCACCCTTCTTGATCTCATCTTCCGAGGTAGTCCCTGCTCAACCTCTAACCTTCCCTCTGTGTTTAATTCCTGTCCAGGAGGTGTTTTGTCCTCTTCTTCATCCCCTGATTCTTCCTTCTGTTTAGAGTCCTGGACGTCTTTAATACCTCTTGACTCTATGTCTAGATCTCTCCTGTTCCTTGAGCTGGGAAAGGGGTATTTGATTTCGTCCTGTTCAGGGTGCCTCTTTTTAGAGCCCTTGGCTGCTTGATTGGATCTCCTCGTCTTTCTCTTCCTTTCCTTTGGACATGGAGGTGCGATGGCGACCTCACAGGGTCTTCTCTGCACCAATTCAGGCGACGACTGATCCCCGCCGAGGGTTCCAACTCTGTCATTTGGATCGTTTCGTCTATCTGGCCGAGTCGATCTATCTTCTCATTTTCCTCGGAATCTTCCTCCGTCTCCATTTCTTCCTTGTCCTTGTCTTCTTAGGCTTCGGCTCGCTCATTTCCAGGTTAGCTATTTCAGCCTTCTTTAGGTCATTGGCATGGACCCTCCTTGCTCGTCCTGCCACTTGATCCCATATTACATATGATACTGGACCCGTCTGCTCTACTATCCGGTAGTACGGTTTCCATCTTTGGTCCAGCTTTCCTTCTCTCTGGTGGATTTTATAGCAGACAGGGTCTCCAACCTTCAATTCTCCTACCTTTCTTTCAGCATTCACTCTCTCATTTTTTTTCTTCTGGGGCCTCTTTATTCTTCTTCTGGCCTGTACAAATATTTTATGCTGTTGTTCCAGCAACAGCTGATGATGATCTTCTCCCATATACTTTCTTCGGGGCTTCAATAGGTTATCCACAGGCAGGACTACCTCTCTGCCAAACAACATAAAGTAAGGAGAAAATCTGGAGGTTTCGTTTATCGTAAACCTCACGGCCGCCAGAGCCTGCGTCAAATACAAGTCCCAATTTCCCTTGTTCTCTCTGAGCAGCTTGGCCAATACATCTCCCAAGGTTCTATGAAACCTTTCCACTTTAGCATTTCTTGGGGGTGATATGGAGATGTTTTTACGTGCTCTATATTCAAACCTGTCAGCACTTCTCTCATTATGCTGTTTATATTCTCCGTGCCACTATCTGTTACCAATTGCACAGGGGCGCCTTACCTAGGGAAGATTTCACTTATTATCAAACCGGCCACAGTTCTAGGCTTCTTGTCTGGTACTGAAAATGCCTCAGGTCAATTTGTTAGCCAATCGACAAAACTCACTATGTAGTTGTTTCCTTGTGCAGTTTCCCCATATGGTCCTGATACATCCATACTCACTTTCTCCGAGGGGGAAGTTCGGCACGTCCGTCTCTCCAATGGTGCCATTTCCCTGCCTTTTGCTCTGCGACTGGCACACTACGCAGCTCCGAACATAGTTAGTGACCTCTCCGTACAGTTTGGGCCAATAGTACTTTCTTCCTATTAGATCACATGTCCTAACAATTCTCATGTGACCCAACCTCTCGTGGCACTGTTCCAATATCTCTGGTCTTAAACTTTTGGGCACATACAACTTGGGCTTGACTTCTTCATCCCTGCCTGAGAGACAATACAGCCTTTCCTCTATTATGGCATACTTGGTGGTCTCTCCTGCCTTCACCTTTTCTCCCAGAGCAGCTATTTCACTGTCTGCATGCTCCTTCTCAATTCCTTCTGTCCAGTAGGGATCGGTTATTATTGTGCGTCCCCTTCTTCGTCCGATTCTAACATAGAGCGATCTTTTAGCTTATTAGAGTTAATTATTCCTATTCTATAAGCTTTATCATCTACTCCCTGCTCTACCTTTACAGATCTTTTCTTCCAGTTGTTTCGGTATTCCTGAGGTAAATCTGCGCACGCGTTTTCCTTCCTGCCAAATACTCTATCTTACAGTGGTAGCCACTTAACTTAGTGCCCACTGTTGAATCTTCTTATTATTTGTCCATTCTGCCTGCAATAGGTACTGCAGAGGTTTGTGGTCTGTTTTTTATAGTAAAGACCGCACCATTCAAATATTAGTCTAGTTTTTTGGAGAACATAAATGATAGCATATGCTTCTATTTCTATTACTGGCCATCTCTGTTGTGTCTCTGAGAGCTTATGAGAGAAAATATCGGTACTTCCTCTGGTATGCCTGGCACTGGTCCTTCTTTATCAGGACTGAGCTGGGTAAGAACTGCTCCCTACACACTGCTCACTGGCATCAGTGTATAGTACCATGGGCTTGCTGAGGTCTGGGTACGTCAGCAGTGGGACGGCTGTCAACTGTTCTTTTAACGTATCAAATGCCCGTTGACAATCCTCTGTCCACTTGAACCTAGCGTATTTCTTCGTCAGGGCTACTAGTGGTATGGCAATTCTCGAATGCCGGGACGAAGCGTCTGTAGTAAC